CGGCCAACAGCTAAATATCGAGGTAAAAAGTTGCATTCTTACCGGTAGTACAGCATTGCATTGCCATCATGGGCACAGATACCGTTTGTGAAGCATTGACACAAATTGTACAACGGGCTCCTGATTGCACACGCAAACACTTTCGCTGGTAAAGTAACCGATTGTGCGCACAGCGAACTGCGTCAATCACAACAGGCTTGCTGCATGTGAAACACAAATCTGTGGGCGCCATAATTTTCGGCCAACGCGGTTGTTTCTTTGCACGTTGAAAGTCTGACGAATCACCAATTACTTCGTTAGTCATTCGCAATAGCTCTTGATACAGTACCGAAAATCCGGATGGATTAACCTCTTCAGCACTTCTCAGACGATGTACAAGATGTGCAATTTTAGACGTAGATGGTTTCGTAACGGGGACTTTCAACGTCCGCAACGGCATGGACTCTGTGGGTAGGTTGTAGTCCGCCAGCCAGCGGATGCAAATAGGTATTTGGCCTGCAAATGGATGCACATATCAGAAACGGCTTACTTGTCGGATACGCGTGCTGCTTGTATGCCGTCATTAAATGCACACACGGAAGCCACATGGTTTCATAAAAAGGGACAGGTACATGTTTCCAAGAAGCAATCGATGGTGAAGCGGTTTTCCTGGTGAGATTTCTCAAACTGGAAGCGTCAGAAAATTTTAATTAACATACCACTCCATCTCCAAGGTCCGAGTAAACTGCTTGTAACATGGGTTGTGCTAAATGGCGCATCACTAAGTTGCATGCGTACGTAGTTAAGAGGCAAACTACGCGATGAACATATGCGCTGCCTTCTAGTAGCTGACGCCTGTCACAGAAGAAAGCGGCATGCATCTGCGACTCTTTCAGGAGAACTTCCGAATGCGCCCAGACTTTGCGAACGGCTGCAACAAGGCCATCCGATGCATGGGTAACTTCCTTTAACCGGAAGTTGGCATTCTCAACTCGGTTGTTCGTTGTATTGCCAAAATGCACCAGTCCAGCTTGTGAGTCTTTCGCCCACGAGCGTTTTATGTACAACCAGTACAACGTAAGGTAGCGCACAAATTGGGGGTCTGTTCTTTGAAGGAGCTTCAAATCTTGTTGAAATCTAAAACAAGAATATTACATATATAAAGAGATTTTACTCCGTCTCCGTGTCAGAAGTTGCCATGCGATGAAACAGATAACGCGACCGGTTAATGTTTGTCTACAGAATGATTACGAAGATTTATCACTTACATGCTTCCTGATGGCTTGGCGGATGTGGAAGTAACACAACAAAATGTCGCATTGAAAAACGGCGCGCGCCGCACGTATTTGAGCGGCCATTTTGTCCATCATTATTGTGCGGACGGGAATATCATGACCCATGATATCCCGAAACGCTTCGAACAACGTAAGCAATGATGCGTAATCTTCCCGACGCAGAAACGCATAAAATATTGGCCGGCCGTGCCCCATGCCGTCAGTTATTAAAAACTGGTATAGTTTGAAGCTGCAAGCAACAAGTAAGCCAGCTATCAATTCTTACTTCAAACGGTTAGTGCCATGAGTAGCGTCTACACAAACGACATGCGAGAATCGGCGGAAAAGTTCTATTTGTTGACGCCGAGCGAATAATACGTGTGTGCACAAGCCTTCCTCAGAAATAATTCGCGCAACTCCGTCTTCTTCCATAGACTTGATAACCTGAGGCAATTTTACTGCAGGAAATAAAAACTATCAAAATAAACGTACACTCAACGCCAGGTCTCAGTTTACGACGAACATTGCGGACATCATCGCTGGTAATATGCTTTCCGAATCGAACCTCGACGAACTGCTTGATGTCGCTTGTTGGGGTGTTGTAGCGGAAAAGGTCTACGGACTGAGTGAACTCATCGTCCGTCAGACGGAGATTGATGGGGTGTCGCCCAAAAAGAAGGCGATTAACTGGGTGATTGTGAGACAGATCGAACGTTGTGACATTCAGCTTGCGTCCCGTTCTAATGAGGTTAACGCGAGCTTGGCAGTTAGTATCACGTGAGCTGAAGAATGTAGAATAATAGAAGCGAAATCCTACTAAACACGTCTCACTCCTGTACTTTTTGACTTCCGTCGAGCGCAGCGGACACATCGATAAATCACCTTGTCGTACTTCACCCGTGACAGGTTACATTTTTTGCTGCTGTAGCGTACGAAATTGACGTAATGAAGAAGCATAAAGTCTGAAAACAAACTATTAAACTCGTCAAAACTGTCAAAAGAACGCCCAAAGAAGATTATCCGGAAATCAGACTCCATGGCGTACGACTTTGAAAATACTGTTTCTACCGCGTATCTAGTTTCCGACACATTTAAACAATTGCAATAACACATTTGCAGAGATTTAAATAAAACTGCAAAGGCAGAAAGATAGCCGGGAATAATGCCATAAAACCACCATAAACTATTTATTGCGCACTAGGTTTTGCAGGGTAACGGTGCGTGGCTGACTTCTGACACATTTAAACAAATGCAATATCACATTTGCACAGAATTGAACAAAACTGCAAAGCCACAAAGATAGCCGGGAATCATGCCATAAAATGACAGGAAACTATTTATTGCGCGCTAGGTTTTGAGGAGTGACGGTGCTGCGACTACGTCACAATAGTCAAATTCCACTTTACGTGTTTATTAAAACACCGTTTTCCACAATATTTCAGCTAAAAAACTCGATCAGTATGGCAAGCCAAAAAACCGAGTTACCGCGTAGTACTCACAGTACCATTCACTCACAGAGGCGATTTCACTCACAGAGCTGATGTTCATTTTCATTGAGTGGTAGAGAGCAGAAGGGAGGACCCGTGTCAGCTCCTTCGCTTCCCGATCTTCCAAGGATTGCAGTCGAATAGTCTGTTATGGTTCAGGATGTAGTATCAGTCCTGCAGGATCCTGGAGTACTCAGTAGGAAGATGTCTAGCAAACGTTTGAAACTCGATTCTGATTTCATTGTATCATTGTATGGTAGAGAGCAGAAGGAGAGTCCTTTATCAGCTCCGTCGCTTCCCAGTCATTGCGAACATTGCTGGGGTCATAGTGAAAATAGGGTTCCACAATGAACCATTAAAGCTAGGTTGTGAAGCAATATCCGGGCACAGTTATCAAGTGGGAATCCAACAATTTCTTGAAACTTTCCTCGGACTGCGCATCAACGACGAGCTCCGGCAAGCGATTCCAGTCATTAACCACGCGCGTGGATAGAGCTAGATTCGACCGCACATGGAGTCTCCTCGGTTTGAACAATTTCCATCCGTGACCACGTGTGGAACTTTCAGTGTTCAGATGAAAGAACTGCTGCAATTCGCTTCCAAGTTCTCCTCTTAGGATACGTCGAGTGTAGATCAAGTCGCCGCGACGACGACGGTAATCCAGAGAGAAAAGACGTAATCGCTGGAGGCGGAGAGGATAAGATAGGCACCGCAGTTCTGGCACATATTTAGATCCACGGCGCTGGACCTTCTCAATCATATCGCATTCCGTCTTCGTGAGAGGCTGGGCAGCTGGCAAGCCGTACTCGAGAATCGGACGCACATGTGAGGCAAACAGGAGTCTGAAGAGTTCTGGAGTAAGGCGGGAGAATGCTCTTCGTAAGGCATGAAACATCCTGTAAGCAGCCGCGACTCTTTTCCGGGTGTCCTCAGTTGTTTTGAGGTAAGGAGACACAATTACTCCGAGGTCCCTTTCTTGGGCAACATTTCTCAGCAGGAAACCTCCAATATGATACACCCCGAATGGTTCACGACTACCAATCGGGAGTACGGAACAGTTATCCCGGTTGATTGGTAACTGCCATTTTACCGACCAGTCGTGGAGCCTGTTGAGTGTTTCTTGGAGCCTGTCTGCATCCTCCAGACTGGATACTTCAATCCAAAGTTTCAGGTCATCGGCATAAATCAAACATTCCGTCTGCAGCTCGAACGGGAGGTCGTTAATAAAGACATTGAAGAGGACAGGGCCAAGGACAGAACCCTGTGGGACACCACTGGTCATAGGAAAAGGATCAGAAAGTGCATCATTCACCCTTACCTGCGCAGAGCGACCGTACAGGAAATCGGAAATCCAGGAGAGAAAATTCCCAGCAACGCCAATTCCGCGGAGTTTGGAAAGAAGCCGCTCATGCGGAACCTTGTCAAATGCCTTGCTAAAATCTACAAACACAACATCCAATCGTTTGCCGGCATCTAGTGATCTCACCCATTTCTCCCTTGCCACAAGCAAGTTTGTGATGCATGAGCGAGCGCTTCGAAAACCATGCTGGGCAGAAGAGATGAAATCTAACCTTTCGAGATGAAGGCATAGCGCGCGTTTTATTGTCCGTTCCATAATTTTGCAGACTACAGATGTCAAACAAACAGGACGATAATTCGCTGGATCTTGTCGGTTTCCTCCTTTATAAATGGGCTTGATGATGCCCGATTTTCAGGCTGCCGGAAGACGTCCAGTATCAAAAGATAGACGGAATATCTGACAGATAGGTGCGGTGATGTGTTCAGCTACAGTTTTAAGGAACAATGGATGTAGGCCATCAAGGCCAGGCGAAGAATACGGGTTTAAATTAAGAAACAGTTTCAGTACAAAATCAGCGTTAATATCCAAGTTCTCTAGCAAAGAAGGAAGAAATGACAAGAAGCTGTCAGGAGGAGACGTTTCAGTTGAATACACAGAAGAATATCTTTTAACTAAAAGACTGGCTTTTTGTGTGTCTTCGTGAACTAAAGCAGCATGCTTGCGGGAACACAAGGCAGGGATGCCACTGCCGGCTCTAGTACTACGCTTGATGTAAGAGAAAAGCGCTTTGGGCGTGGTCCGGGAGAGAGTAGCTAAAGACAGTTCGTAGAGTTGACGTTTCTCCCGTTTCTGAAAAGTACAAGCATTCCTGATTGTTTTATAGCGAGAGTAATCGAGGTCTGATCGTGTTAGTTTAAAACGGTTCCACAGTTTACGCCTTTTGTTCATAAGGGATCTTAATTGGCGATCTATCCAAGGCGGGCCTTTAGAAAACGGTCTTCTCTTGGAGGCAGGGACGATCTGTTCGATGAGCGACATCAACTTGGAGTACAAAAGATTCCATGCATCATCGAGACTGAGATGCCCAGGGATACTCCAATCCACAACGCTTGCCGCCGTTTTCAAACGAAGTGCATCTACACGCCAGAAATTCCGCCGGTCGGCGCACTGGATGTGGACCGCGAAGCGACGAGTCCACTGAAAGGAAACAGCACAGTGATCACTTCTGCCAATGGGCTCGATAACGGCTACGTTTGTGATGTCTGATTGCGCTGAGGAAAGCACAAGGTCTAGGATGCGCGGTGTCTGATCTGGGAAAATACGAGTTGGCGTCATGACATGTTGAAAAAGGTTGCAATCCAGGACGGTTTCAAGTAAGGCGGCATCGAAATGGTCGGATGGGCGATTACAAAGAAGGAAATTTTAATCGATATCTGGTGCATTGAAATCACCCACGATAAGACAGTCCTTGCCTCCGCCGTGCGCCCTGATCGAGTCCAACAAACTAGCCCCGGAGCCGGATGGTGCCCTGTAGACGACACCAATCAAGGAAGATCTATAT